GCCACGCACTGTGGCGGCGGTTGGGGTCGTCCCGAAGGCGCGCGAAGTCTGTAGAAGGAAAGTAGAGTGGCACCAAGGCTTTGGCTTTCTCTGTATTTCGCATTTTGGATCACTTAAGGCACAGAGAAACCAAGGGCGACTTGCACTTGGTGCCAAGCTGATAAAAACAGCTGGATTGGCCACGGGAGAACGAAGTTTTCCAATACATGAACTTTTACCAAAAGATGGGTATTATAGGTTTATTTTATTTTACTTTTTGGTACCGGGGATCGAACTCGCGACCTTGCACTTGAGAGTCAGGTGGGCAGAACCACTGAGCTAAATCCCCGGCCTGTAGGTTTATTTTAATTACTGTATAAAATGTAACTAGTGGGAGGGAAGGAGGACAATTGAGTCAGACATTATAATGGTAAAGTTTATGGAGGAGGTTAAGTTTATGGAAGAGTGTCGAAATTAGCGATGTTAAAAGGGAATAGTTCTCTCAGAGGCTTAGAAACAGATCCAATTGGATTATTTTTTGGGGGGGTTGTGCGTCCATAAACGGTCTTAACTCATTCTTTTAATCCCATTGGGTTTGTCTAGAATGACTAATAGACGCTTTTTCAGCAGTTTCCATTGTCCCAGCAAAGGGCCGGATCAAATTTATTGCTAATGGCTTTATAGAATTTAACATGTTTAGAACCTGTCCTGGTCTTTCAGCTTGAAACGGTTACTAACAGAATGGAACGAATATAATTATATGAACATCGGTCTCATTCACATAGTGTAAAATCTAAATGGTAGGAAGCCTTTTTGCACCCTGGGAGAGGAACATATACAGCTAGGTTTATGTGCCTTAGAAGTGGACTACTCTGTTCTTTTTGAAGTATTAGGAGAATTTAAAGTGTATAAAGCAGGTTCATATAGGCATGAATGAATGAAGAATGTCTCATAAAAATACAATTTTCAAGAAAGTTTGGTATTTGCAAATTTGATGGCTTGACATTGTTTCTTTCCTTGATGGCTTGACATTGTGTCCATAGTTCTTTTTCAAGAATTCATAAGTTCTTATATTGGCTTTACAGCAATGAAAGATCATTTAATTTAAACCTCTGCACATTTTACCGATTAAGTAAACATATGGGAATCAAAAGCAGATAGTTCAGTAGCCCTAAAACTAATTTCATATGTTTGTTTCCTTCAAAATATTGCAATTAGTGGGTAAAGGTTTTAAAAATAACACCGTTTTTCATTTTCAGGAGCATATTCATTCTTGTAAACTTATTAAAGTGTGCAAATACAAAAATAATTTTTAATGAGTGGAGAACTTTATATTTTCTTTCAGAATATTCTAAGGCAGTGAAAGTGTCTACTTTACCAAGTATTTTTTTCAGTCCTAATTCAAGATTTGATATTCTCTTAGATTAATTTTCATTTCACAAACTGCCCTTTATTTCAAAAAGCATTTTTGTACAGATTGTATCTAATTTTTTAAATTAGAAAAATAATAGAAAAGGAAAAAGCCCCATAAGGTTGTGCTTATAAAGATGATGTTAAATGTGAACGAGTTTACATTCATTTATTTTTTCTAATTTACCAAAGAATGTAATTTTCTGAATATTAACCCAGTTTGTTTTTTAACGATAGATTCTTGCCTTACTAACTATTGTGGGAGTTCCTTTATTCAGCGGAGAGTTAGGAAGTTATAATGAGGGTTGACAGTTTTAGGGATCACCTGGAAATTGGATGAGGATGAAATAGTGATTGATGTTCTATAGAGAGTATAAATAAGATAGGAAAGTTACTGTTTTTATACAATAACAATGTGTCTTTCAGAATAATAATAATTCAGATTATTAGGAACTAACTTGGGAGGGGGTTATAAAATGTGATTTTAAAATTTAGTGTATTGACTACCCACTTTTCTCTCACTCTTAATTTGTTGAGTGTACCAGTCTAAATGTTGCACAAGAAAACCAGAGAGCTGGGGATTTAGCGTAGTGGTTCTGCTTCCTGCCTTGCAAGCACAAGGTCCTGAGTTCGATCTCCGGTACCAAAAAAAAAAGAAAACCGGAGTTATTTTTAAATGCACTGGTGAAATACAGCCTCAACTCAAATTGAAGGGATTTATAGCACTGCATGCATTTCTGTTACCTAATGTTAATAACACTACCTATTTCATTCACTTAACAAATGCCAGGCTCTGCTCTAGACCATTGGCTTAATCACTGAACAAGACATGGCTATCTCTGTCCTTGAACTTACATTTCATGTTCTGTACTACGTTATAGGGTACTAGTTATTTTCAGAATCATTAGCTTTTCGAAACTCCAGAATAGGCCAGCAAGATAACTAAAGGACTCTGGTTTTTCTTTTCTTCAAAAAATTATTTTGGTTTCAAGCACCACTTTAAATTAGCTGTGGACTTTGGAAAAACATCAACAACAAAAATGTGCCAAATCTTTAGCCTTCTACTTTAGTGTTTCCCTATTTGAAAATAATAAGGGATAGTAGGATAACTAATTGCATTTTTAATCACCAAGTTTAAGTACGTAGAGCAAGAAAAGGAGTTCTCCAAGCTATGTTCTGGCAGATCATTTCTACAGAGTATGCTAAAAGCTTAAAAAGATCATAGAGCATTGCTGAAGGCTTGAGAGGGCACATGTAGAGTACACTAGTGGGTAATGCATAGATTCACCTCCGGTTTTTAAAACATCTTGGACCTGTAATAGTTTATTAGTGAGAACCAAGAGATTTTGTGAGTAAACTTCTAATGGAGATCCTCCTGCAGAAGTTCACTAATATCGTTAGTTGGAAAACATTGTGTAAGATTAAAATATTCATGTCTTTGTATATGAAAGAAGGCCTTGAAATGTAAAAAGCTAAAAAAGAATGTCTTGGATAAGAGAAGGCCATGAATTTTGTAGTTGATGGTTTATTCCATCAATTTTCTTCAAAATAAGTGGAACAAATAATTTTGCTTTTTAATACTGTGTTATTTAAAACATCTTAGAAAAAATATTTAACATTAAAATTTATTTAATTTTCTTTTGCTGGATACAAAAGAATTGGAAAGTAGATATTTGTTCTGGATAATGATATGCTCTAATAATATGGAGTTGATATTCTTTTTAAAAAGTAACTTTACCAAGTACATTGAGCTATGCAGTACAGAGATGGAAGATCCATAGTATTTTTTCTCTCACCAAAGTAGAGTTGTTTCCTACCATTACTACTTAATGTGATTCTGGTTTCTTATCTACCTCCCAGTTCCACATACTGTTTACCTGTTAATCCTTGAATCTATCTGAAACTGCTTGTATTCATCTTACACATCCAAAATGGTAGTTTATTCCTCTTCACTGAAATACATTGAAAGTTTGAAATAAAATAGCCTCTCATACATTTTAGGCTCTTGGGGAAAGAAGAAGGTGGATCTATGTTCATAGCAGGGGTTCCAGTCAAATTGAAGACTTTTTGATCTGATTGAAGTTAAAGTTGGCCATTTTTGTTGCTAAATAAAGCTGTAGATTTGTTTTGGCAGATCAAAACCTCAGAACCTTAAATGTTGGTGATGCTGACCCAGAATCAGAATAGTAAGTAATAGTAAGAACAGGGATTTGGATCAGGACAATGGTGTGACCTGTTTCAGCAGTTCTTGGTTCCGCCCATCACCCCAACCATCCTTCAACAGAATTTGTAGATGCTCCTAGAACTATGTTCTTAATATATTTGTATACAAATGTGTCTTTGTAGGTAACTGTATTAGTCATCTTTCTGTCACAGAGATGAAATACCTGACAGAAACAACTTAAGGTAACTGGATATGATGGCACACATTTGTGATCCCAGCACTCTGGGAGGCTGAATCAGGAAGGTTGCAAATTTGAGCCTACTCTGAATGATTTAGCAAGACTCTGTCTCAAAATTAAAACAAAACAAAAAGACAAAAACGGGCTTGGAATGTAGTTCAGTGTGAAAGGCCTGCATTGATTCCCCAGTATAAAACAAAAACAAAAACCCACCATTACCAAAACAACAACAAATAATAATAGTAACAAAAGCAAAACTTAAAGAGGAAGGTTATTCTGATTTATAGTTTCAAAGGTCTCAGTCTATGGCTGGCTGGCTACAAGGCAGCAATGTGGGAGCAGAGGAAATCTGCTCAGCTCATAGCACCAGGGAAACAGAGCAAGGGATGAGCAGAGGAAGAGGAAGAGGAAGAGGAAGAGGAAGGGGCTGGAGACAAGATACACCCTTCCAGGTCTTGTCCCAGTGACCCACTTCTTCCAGCCAGGCCCTACCTTCTAACAGCATATTAGCTATGAACCCCCATCAGTGGATTATCTACTGAGTTGAGCACCCTCATGATCCAGTTATGTCCACCTCTGAAGACATGAGACTTTAGGAGGACATTTAAGATCTCAACTACAACATTAACTTACATCACTAACTTTTACATAAGTCACTCTGTGAACAAAGTATGTGCTCCATAAGTTAATCGGCACTTTGATGTGAGGAGAAATTCTTGTAGTTAATAGAAATGTAGAACTAATGAGCACACCCTTTACTTTAGGTACTAAACCACACTTCTTATACAGTGGTGTCCAAGCCGGAACTACTGTACAATGGACTGGAGATTTATGGTGCATTCAGTTCGCCTCCAACTTTAGTACCTGTCCATCCCCCCCAAAACCTGCTTCTCTACTTTGCTCTAACAAGTGAGTATCAATCTGGTAATTTGTATTGAAGTTACTAATTTTAGCAATAAAACAGGAGTAATCTAACAGACAAACAGGAATATTTTAGAACTTTTTATTCACTTTAGGGATTTGAGTTATTTTAAGAGTTACAGTAGTTCAAAACCCTCAAAATGCATGTTTGGTTATATGTAGAATTTGAACATTGAGATCAGTTAGGTTCAGGGTTACACTACATGAAAATTCCATATGTGAAGGGGAATTTAAAGGGATTATCAAGGGTGATTTTGTTTATGTATGTATTTGTGTGTGTGTGTGGTACTGGGGAGTGAACCTAGCATCCCTCATATATGCTATGCAGGTGCTCTACCACTGAGCTGCATCATAGTCCTTTGTCTGTATTTTTGCCCAATCATTGTCTCAGTGATCACACCTAAGCTGCTCATTGGTTTCTCTTTCTCTTTGAGTGTGTCACCTCCTTCCTGTTTTGTATCCTCTAGAAAAAAAGTTTTGATTTGCTGTATCAGGATATTTCATGGTTAAATTTGCTGCTAGTGATAGAAATGAGAGCAAGTTGAAAGTGAAAGACCACTCAAAGTTTCTGTTTAGTGGTTGTGTTCATAAAATGCTTTGAGATTCTTTGGTTATGGGAGTTTTCACAGAAGTGAAATGTTATTATCTTTAAAATAGTTAAACAAATTTGTCTTTTAAGTTAGGGTGGGTAGATCATTATTTCACTTACTCCTCAGTCAACATACTTTCTATCACCTTATATCTGTTGTTGACATTGTCCATAACTTTAGAATCAATTTTACTTCTTTTAAGGGAATTTGATTTGCCACCTTAAAGTTTTCTTTTACTTACAGTGATTTTTTAATTTATTTACAAGGAAAGCACACAACTTTTAAACCAGTTGAGTCTGCCAGGGTAAATAGGCAAAATGTAAAATCGAACAATGCAATTTTTATCTAGGAATGCTCATTAAAAATCTTCATTTAAGGCTGCATTAAATAATACTTCTAGTTTATACTCTTAGTAAGATTGAGTTTTTGCCATAACACATAGCATGCTTACAAGACTTTCGTATATTTTATTCCAAACTGCTTTATTTTACTTTCAGTAATGTTTCCACTTTTAATGAAATCTCTCCCTTTCATGCTTTTTAGCTTCCAGTCAATATTTAAGTTGGAAATGCTAAGTGATTCATCACTTTATATAAAATTATCATAACTGATTTCATTTTTAATAACATTCATTTTGTCAGGCAGCTATTAGTTGTGAATATTTTAGGGTCATATTTTTGTAAGTTATATGAGCAGTAAATTTGAGGTATCTCTCAGAAGTCAAAGATCAAAAAGCCTGTATAAATTTTTTAGACTTTTCTTTCAGAACCAGGAAAATGAAAGTAAGTTTGAATTAAATATTTGTTTTCTTGTTTATAAATATTCTAGGGATGAACTAGGTTTTTCATTTTTCTTTCACAGGTTCAGGCATTGTGTTATACAACCTTAATCTTATTAATTCTAAGGGCCCATCAGAAATAAAATATATAATAGGTACATTTCTACAGGTTGTCTTGAGAAGTCTCTAAACTTGTTCTTCAAAACTTTAAATCTCTAATGCTTTCTCAATTAAAATTTGAGGAGTCAGTAAATTATTCTTTGGGAAAATTTATGTACATTAACAAAAGAATAAAACTGACTTCTGGCAGTATTTTAATAGACTATCCTGTGGCTGGATTAAGCGGCAGTGTATTGAGCTAATTTTGTAGTTATACTGGATCTGAAATAAAAAGGCAACCTGATTCTTCAAAGCAGGAACAGGATCACAGGTATTTGTTTACATATTTTCTATAGCTGCTTTACATTACAAATTGAACAGTTGTAATAGAGGTCTCCTGGCTCAGAAAGCCTATTTATTTTCGAGTCCTTTGTAGTAAAAATTTGCCATTCCTTTCTCCAAAGCACAAATGGCAAATTGGGTAAATTTTAAAATACTGATGGGTTTAGCAGCATTGCTATAATTTTTAAAGTCCACATTCAAGCCTGACTTCTTTTTATTACTGATTGTTTAACCCTGAGCAATTCACATAACCGCATTGAACCTCTGTTTTCCTTATTTAAAGTGTGACCATCAGGAGGCTGAGGTAGGATTGCTGCAAGTTTGAGGCTAGTGTGGGCTACATAGGAGTTCAAGGCCAGCCTGAACTGCATAGCAAGACCCTGTTTCAAACCAAACCAAACCATCAAAACAACAATGTGCACGGATGATTAGAGTCAGCAGTTGACTTTCAAGCACATACCTCAAAAGCTCATTGATAAGGAACAGGAAAAGACATGAAAGACTTCTTTCTATCATAAGCAAAATATTGGTATATGGGGTACTGCGATTTAAGAAACCATCCCAAACTTGATAGCCTAAAAAACCCAATCATTATTTTCTCTCATAGGTGATTCTCACTTGGAATCCTGTAAGCTTACAGTTGGATCTTGTCTGAGGCTGCAGTCATCTGAATGCTGGATTGGGCTGCAAGTCCCGGGTGGCCATGCACATCATGGGTAGTTGATGCTGGCTGTTGACTAGGTGCTCATCTGGAACAGTACTTTCTCTTGAACTCTCCAAGTGTCTTATACCATGGTGGCTAGGGTTTGAAAGGGAGAGTTCTGAGAGCAAACATTAAAAAAAAAAATCCACATAGCTTTGCAACTGTGGGTATTTTGGACATTCTGGAACTTCAAAGACTAGGTGAAAAGCCATATCTCAAATTCAAGGGAAAGTGAAAGAGACCCAATTTCTCAATGACTGGTGAGCCAAATAATTTGCAGGCATTTAAAATATGCTGCATTGTGAAATCAGGATAGCTAGTGTCACACACAGTTACTGGTAGGTCTGTCTTTGGCTGGGAATTAATCATGTAGAGTGGTGTATACCTGGGAACTCAGAGAACCTTTACAAAAGCTTTTTAGAAGTAGAGTTCTGAAAGTTATAGGTATCATTTGTTTAATAGTATAATCTCTTCTCTGACAATGTTACAATAAAGAGTAGAACATGCCCTCAATGTTAACTTATTTATTCAGAGCTGTCTGTGTAAACTCCTTTAAGGTTGAAGCAGCAGAAATGATGGTTTTGAACACCCAGAAGCCAGATCCTACCCACTGGTTGGTATTGTGAGGATGGACTGGGTGATGTTGGTGGAAGTGTCCAAACAAATGCTTATGGCTACCTACTGCAGTAACACTTCCCTTTGGCACTTTCTTATTGCACTATGTCTCAGCCAGTACTGCCAGGTGAATTTTTCTGTAAGGCGTACCTTCTCATATAACCATGCTATTCAGAAAAACCTAAATTTTCTCTTTTGAACTCAAATCAGAGGAAAATACTCACTTTGGCCCCTGAGACCTTCATTCCACCAGCCACATTAAACTTCTAGCCACACTGCTTAATGTTCATCCCTTTCACCTTGTCCCAGTAACCAGCCTGGTCTTTTTAACCTGTTCTACTCTTGCCTGCCATCTTTGCCTCCTTTTCTTTGTTCATGTCTTTTCCTTCCTGAATTGCCTTCTTTACCTTTTCGTTCCAAGTATTTTTCAAATGAAGGTCCAAATTATGATGTTCTTTGGGTTCAAACCTCCTTTGACCAAGTCTTCCTAACATAATTTTCTTTTTACTTGCTTTTAGTAGAAGTTTGGAACATACTGATTTATTTTACATGTTGTCTTAGTATCGATCTCAAATTATGTAATGCTGGTAGGAGAAAAGGATAACATTTGTTGAGTGCCTGCTGTGTGCCAGGAATTGTTTTAGGATTGTTCTAGTGATCTTAATCTGATTGGACATTATAATCACCTGTAGAGTTATTAAAAAATTGCTATGATAGGAGACTCACTCAGAGTCAATCTGATTTAAGTCCATTGGTGTGGGGGTTAAGAATCTTTATCTTTGGGGCTGGGGATTTAGCTCATTGGTGCTGCTGCCTGCCTCTCAAGAGCAAGGTCCCAAGTTTGATCCTTAGTACTGGGGAAAAAAGAAAAAAAAATAGAATCTTTATCTTGGAAGAGTTGTCCAGATAATGCTGATATGTATTCAGGGCTGAGAACTACTGATTAGGGAAATGCACAGAGTGAAATTCTTAAATTTCATTTTCTAGTGGAGTACATCAGGTTTGACAGAACAAAATTCAATATGGAGCATTGAGAAATTGAGATTTTTTAAAAGCAGATTCAGGTCTGTAAATTAAGGACTATAAAAGAAATTCTAGGAAGTACAACCGTTCTTTCGTCCCTGTAGTTGTAGCACAGTGAACTATTTGGCACCTGATAGGCAATACATATTATTTGCCTTAAATGAAATGAACAGAATTACTTTCTCATGATTGATCTGTGCTAAATCATTAAGATCTGTGTTTTCTGTCTTAAATACTTGAGTCAGAAAATGCTTCTATGTTTTCTGATGAAAACAAGGATAACACATGAATTTACCTAATTTATTTTCCCTGCTGATTGAAGGCAAGGTTTGCAATTGAATCACATAAATGCATTGTTTTTAGATTGTGATTAAAATCAAACCTCATTAGGTATTTAATATTTCTCAGGTCTAACTATTCAAGACAGATGTTTGCCATCCTTTCAAACTTTGTATTTGGCCCCACCTACTCCAGATAATTTGTTCAGTTGTATTATTTTCAAGTTGAAGTTTTAGATTGCTTTATTCCCAGGGACCTTGTACTTGGCACTTGAAGGAAGTTATTAAAACTATCCTTTAGAAATTATTTAATTCCCTGTTCTCTCAGAAAGGTTTTATTTTTCACCATTTGCCTTAACATATTGGAACTTTCTGTCGTGCCTCATAACACACTGCCCAATCTACACAGCATTGCAGCGAGCCTCTAAAATTTTTTCAAGGTTATATTAGTGATTTTTAGTAGTATTCTTTCCCACATCACAAATCAGTACCATAGTTTGAATTAATAAAATATTGGTTTCTTGCTCTTCTCTATCAGTAAAGAAGAATGAAAATCACAAAACACAATTTAAAAACTTGCTTTTTAGACAGGAGAGCTTTGAAAATCATTTCTGTGTAGTCAAGCTTATAACTCTCCTTGGCTGTGAGATACTTACATCTGTTTAGCTAAATTTAGAAAAATGGGTGGCCAGTTCACCATTATGTTGGCTGTAAGTTCTCATCTTAACTAAATATTCAAAATAATTGAAAGATATTTTGAATCCTTGCCCTCACATAAGTCAGAACATATGATTAAGATGTGTGGAAAGTTCATGGAGTTTTTTTGTTTTGTTTGTTTTTTCCTGTGAATGCATGACTTTGGTGTTTGGATTCAGAGAGAAAGGTTTGATTTAGTTCCAGAAATTTTAAGTCATTCTGTTGTAACTTGCAACAGTTTCTTTCCCACAGAAACTGGGAGTTGTGTTTGTTGGTGGGATATGTAGTATCTTGAAACGCTATACTAATCTATTACTGACATCATGCTGTAAAACATCACCATGTGTATTTTTTCCTTTGGAATGGCCATTTGAGAGAAAGCTCTCATGGAAATCTTGGGAGATGTGTCCATTTTCCAGGATCAAGCTTTGAATAACTGGCAAGCGTCTCTGTGCATGAAATCCCTACCCCTCATGGCTAATGACACATCATTACAATAAAACCTGTTCTGTTTTTCTTGCTTATTTTTAATATTTGTTGAAAGTAGTCATAATTACATTACAGATACTTATCCTTTATGAGCTTAAATAATAATGAGTTGTGAAAGAGAAAGCATGTGTAAAGTTCATAGCCTAAAGTATAGTGAACACTCCTTAAATATTACCATTATAACTGCTGTTCAGTAAGCCTACCATGAATCATTCCTAGCATGGTAAATTATTAAGTAACTACATCTACATTGCATTGACGGGGTTTAAAATGTTATCATCTAGGATTAAATTGCCTTTTCCCCCCCCTGGTTTTTTAAGAACTTCACAGTAGTTTGTAACAGTCAGCAAAGTTTTCATAGATCTGTCAACTTGTCACTTTGTTTTCATCAGGCTTGAATTTCCTCTTTGTTATTACCTTAAAAAAATACAAACTTTAAAAATGATGAAAGTCTAACATATATTTTAAATGCATTACAATATTTTAAATGATTATTTTCTTTGGTCATTTAGCACTCCTGCAATCACATGCTCAAATGGATTAGCGTTTGACTTATGTCAGACTAGGAGCATGGGGGAAAAAGGAGCACTTAATTGGAATTTCACAGCGATTTCCACATAAATCAGCTTAAACAAGGTGTATTAATGTATAGCGATCAGGAATTGACTAATCTGTGTAAATATGTGTGTTGAGAAATGATTTAAAGTGGTGAAGAAATTCTACACAATAGCCTGGTCATGTCACAAGAGTGTGGAAGCCTCTTCTTTTTCCAAAACTAGAATTGTTACTGTAGAGTTTACTTACATTTTTAAAAATTAGACTGATGCTGTCATTTTGATTACAGCTGTCATAAAGGGTAATATATAGTAATATAACAGACTGTTCAATTTAAGCTGTTGTCTGGTTAGATTTAATATTAAAACAGACAGCTTTAAATCACATTCATCACAAAATACATTTAAATGATCACTTGTTTCAAGTAAAAATTTTTTAACTTTTAATTTTTTCATTTTTAGGGCTGTAGAGCTAAATTGAGAAACACTTTTGCTAGAACAAGAAAATTTGTAATTTATATATACTTTGTGTTATTATTTTAATAGTATCATGGTGTATAGTGTTATCTTCTATATTCTATATTGAGCAACAATTTGAAAACATATTTTCTTTGGTATTTCCAGCTAACATGATAAATATTTAATTTTGTATATGTAAATGCAACATTGAAATCCTTTTTCTTTTTTTCTTCTACGGGGGGTGGGTGGGTGGGTGGTGAGCCTAACAGTAAAATAACTATGACTTAGTTAATTATTTGTAGAATGTTTATTTTGAAAGAGAAATATGTTATGTAACAGAAAATCTATTACAGTGAGCAACTTTTATGCTTGGAAATATATTTCCATTTTTTAATATATTTCCACTTTTAAAAGCATTTCATAGATCTGTCTTAATGGAAGTGTAAATCTGCCTAAATATTGCCATCCTTGTATAGTTTAAATTGTAAAATACAAATGAAATGATTTATCATTTTTATGATGTTTTACAGTTTGTATTAGAACAATCTATGGCAGTAAAACTTAAGAAACTTATTGAACTTTTGAACTCCCAAATATTCTTTTTATACCTTTGTTTTGTTGCCATATTTTCAAACCAGTATTAAAGCAAACACTTTATTCTTTAGAAATCCAAATATTAAGTAAAAACATTAATAATGTCAACTTTTCATTGTATTATAGGAAGAAAATTGCATTTATGATAAGTTTGCAGTTTTAAGGCCTTCAGAATCTTGAAATACTATGCAGTTTTTATTTGGCCATGTACCTTGTTTTGATACATCCTTTAGAGAAATTGGTGAAAATGAGTCCATACTTCTCAGTTGAATAAATTCAAGTCTGAATTTACTGTGTTCTTTGAAAAGGTATATAGTCATATCAAAGCAGTATTCCCTAATGTTATTAAGAAGTTTCCATTTGAATGTGAAGGGAGAATAATAAAATTATTTTTAGCTCCTGTTTTAAATTTCAAAGTGATCAGTTTTAGTTGATGCTGTATTTTAGGGTGTGCTGGCTTTCTGTTGTTGTGTATTTCTTTGTTTTTTTCTGCACTGGGAATTGAACCCAAGGCTGAGCCATATCCCCAGCCCTTTTAAACATTTTTAAATTTTTAGATAGGGTTTTGCCAAGTCACTAAAGTTGTCTAGGGTGATCTTGAACCTGTGATCCTTCTGCCTCTGCCTCTCAAAATCTTGGGTGGTGTGCACACTGTTCCATTAGGCATTAATTTTTGATTTTCATTTTTTCCCTAAGAAAACCAGAGAATTTTTCTGTTTCTTAGTTTATAAGAGTATTTGTTCAGTTACTGAAAATTGGACTATTTATATTGTGCTAGGTACTTTGCTGGATAAATAATGATACAATCAAGTGCACACCTTTAGGAAATCTTGACCCGCATTTATATTGTACTAAACCCACTGTATTAGAGCATATGGTGTATTTAAGGCACTTAACCAAATCTTGGCACATAGTGAGATCTCAATAAAGAGAGAGCTATTCATAATGCATGGCATTCTTTATAGCTATTTTTCATCTTCTGAAGAATGGAGGTTAAAATTTCACTTAAATGTTAAATTCAAATGAAGTGATTTGTCATTTCTTCGATGGTATTGTATCAAAATGTCAGAACAAATTATAGTAACAAACTTCAAAAAATTTGTAGAACATTTAGACATCAAAAAGTCTCTTTTTCATACCTGTGCTACGAGAGTAACCATTAGTATGCCACATATATCTCTTGAAAATTTATGAGTAGCATAGTTTAATAAAATGAGATGAACAGACTTATGTGGCAACTCACCACACTATGAAGACAAGTACTTTTGGATTAATTTTATATTTTTCTTGGTATAAAATGGTATTTCTCAAATACTTTAAAGCAAGTAAATAAGATAAAAAAAACTACCATTCTTTGTTACAGAACCATTTAGTAAAGTAACTGTTAATAACTTGGGATTCCAAGTAACTCTATATTTCAAATAACCAGAATGCGATATAATAATGTGCTATAATGTGTTTAAAAATTCATTGTAAGCATATAACACTAAATTTGTTTTTTAGAAAGAAGAATATTTAGAACTGTGCTATTTAATAATTTAATAATCCCTAGTCACACGAGTCTATTTAAATTAAAATTAATTTGGATTAAACATCCACTTATCTTGTCACACTGGGCCCTCAATAGCTCAGTCACTGCATGTGGCTAGTAGATACCATGTTAGACAAGGCAGACCAAACACCTCCATCATCACAGGTTGTTCTCTCACATAGTATTGCTGTAGTGTGCCTTATCTCCAGGAATATTGTATTTGTAATTTTGAACCCACAGAAAATGAACTAGCAAATGTGTTGTATGACAGTTGGAGTCTTTTCTACCATATCTTCTGAGTCTTGATGCGATTATTTGGCAAGCAAATTGGCCAATGACAGCCATGTAAAATGACTTTAATTTCAGGACGAGTTATAACCGAGTAAAGTCTTAGGAAATGAAGTCCTTTTACTCCATGACTTTTAGGAAACCAGAGTTTTGAATATTGTCTGAAAGAAGTGGCTAATCAACAAGATCAATGCTTTCTCCACAGTGCCTTCCAAACCCTTTCTTCTGAGTGCTCTGCCATTCTACTCTGCGTGCTGTGGTGGGTCCTGTCGGCGTCCTGCATCCCCCACTGCCTTTCCAAGTAAGTTTTTAATGCTTCATCAGAAATGCCTTCACTATTCTGTAAGCCAAAGCAGCAGGATTTAATGTGCTCCAGGAAGCTAATTGGCAATGCAATGGCAAGGAGCTAATTCCTCACTAAAAATCACAGTGATCCTATTCAGGAGGTTTCCAGAGATTTATCAAACCTCAGCACAGTGACCAATTGTGAGTGGTTTCTACTGGCATTGAAACCCAGAGCTGACACACCAAGGAAAGCAACTTATTTCCCATTTGACATAAAAGATCTCACAGGGACCAGTTTGGCTCTTTCTGAAATGCGTAGCACTGATCCTCCAAAGAAGAGGGAAAAAATGAAAGGGAAGAAATTGTGTTGTGTAAAACTTCTACCCAGCTTAAAAAGTGACACAGAAATTCAGGAGATGTCTGTGAAAAATAATTGTGAATTGTCCAGATCATAAAAGGTGTTAAATGTCTCTTGTTTATCATCTTGAAGAAAAACAACCATAGCCGTGGGAAAGATTTCCAAGAAAACTTTAGACATCAACAAAGCAAAATTTTCATAGTGTCTGGAGGTGGAGTGAGAATGGCAAACTTTCCAAAATTCATGGTGCAAGTGCGCGTGCGCACACACACACACACACAGACACATTTAACTGAAGGTAAAATTCACATCAGTCTTGAGATGTCTAGGTAGAATAAGAATTTGTAGGCAGAGAATATGAATTTATGATGAAGTGCAGTGGAGAGGTATGTTTATTTCAGCTGCCCAAGGGGAAAACAACCCATTTATTGAGGTTAATGGCTCTGTCAGGTGACAAGCGAAGTGTTGAGTAAGGCTGAAGCACAAAGCTCCATCACAGTTGAATTCAGATCCCTGCTGCCTGTGTCTGTGTTTTATGAATGTTTCAGGAGAGCATTCGCTCAACAGAATGCTTCCTGACAAGTGAGGCATCAAATGCTGGCGGTTTAATGAGCTGCAAGTTTCTGAGCATCTCTTTAGGGGGCTGATACTTTCCCACAGTGCACTTTATATGGCGGGGACCTGACCACAATGGGTGACAGACCCGTGACCAATTGTAACTTTCACTTGACTCATCCACACGCGACCTCACCACGATTTTTCACTCTGCAGATGAACTTTAGGAACCATTTCACATGGAAAAGGCTTGGCCAAGGGTCAGTTGCCCTTTTGTATGGTCATAAAGCGAGGCTCTGTGCGTCAGTCTTTTCTCCTGTCTCACATTCCAAGTGAATTTCTGGACATTATTTAAAGCACTTGACTGAAAGATAAAGCAGTGAATGAAACTGACTTTTATAGACTCATTCTAGCTCATCTTCCCATATAACCCTGTCCACCTGAAAAGGGATTTAGTGGATGAACTGAGTGTATACAGGGACTTGCTGAATACATAGGACCCATTATCAACTGTGGGGATTGTTTATTAACCAGGACTGATACACTACTATTTTTGAAGTGACCTATTAATTGTCCATTTAACTAGAATGTATTGAATTCAAATAGAAAAATAGAAACCATGACTAAACCTTTTACTCGCTCCTTCAAGGTGGTCTGCTATGAGGGTGATTTAAAACTCTTGTGCAAATTAAGGAGACATTTATCACCATATATTAGAGTAGAAGGCAAAGACTTCAGGAATGTAGTCTTTAAACCCCAATATCTGATATCGAATCATAGTGGCATCTCTGCAGAATTAAGTCTTTAGTGTTAGATTTCAAGAGAGGAGATTGAAAGAGTTCTCACACTTAGTTTTGTTTATTTCACCTTGATGTAATATTGAACCTTTGGATCTATGGCAGTACAATTCAGGTAAGTGGAAATGTGCAAAAAATTCCATGTAACATGTGTTCATGTATATATGTGTGTGTGTGTGTGTGTATTATTTTATAGTAGTGTTTTGTCTTTAAAAAGTTCAGTTTAATTACTAGAATACATAAAAATAATGTTAAAGATATTTCCTAGATAACTTCATCTTTTCCACTACTTGAAAGGTCTCACTTTCTTCCATCTATTTTTTAGTCCTTTCTACTTTGTGCCTTTTGCATCACTGTTGTAAATTATGGTGTTTTTTCCCTAGAGGTTTAAAGAGCTGTGTTTATCTTTTTAAAATAAACATACGAGCAGAAAGTCAGCGCAGCTCAGGTCAAGGATAGAAAATGCTATACTTGGTCTGTCTCCTTTTCTAAAGTTGGCATTTACAAACAGTTTAAGATAACCACAAGTGTTTTTAATAAACGTTTGTGTCTCATGTTATTAGTTACAGCTCTAAAATGAATTTCTTATTTTCTTGTTAATAATGTTCATTCATATTGGCAGCAACTACTAATGAAATAGTGGAATTATGCTGTCAATAAAGAGTTTGTATAAATAACCAAGATACCAAGGAACAGTTAATGAGGTTTACATCTGTACAGTCCTTTTTTCCTAAAGGTGTTTACTAGATTTTCTTTTTTCCCTTCTTTTATTTTCTAATAATAAAAGTGAAATTTATGCCCAAGCTTTGAAATTATTTTCCATTGTACAAAAGAGGGAAAATGTACTGTCCAGTTCAAATTCTTATTAAGTTTCAGCTTGGCCAAAATTAAAGTTTATACTAAAAAATTTAATAACTGATGAAATTGATGGCTCTCACCATTGTTTCACAGTATTGATATCACTCTTCAAAAGCGTGGAATCAGATCAACACATTTGTAATTGTTCAATTGAAATATCCTTTTGACTCTACTTGATTCATTTGTTTAATGTTGATTCAGTTTTTCTTCTTAGATTTATGATCAACTCCTTATTGCAATGTGGAAACAATCATTCACCCAGTGCCCTTCTCACATGCAATAAATGCTTTAATAGGCTATTTAAGCTCAACTCTTACAGTGGGGAAAATTAAAAGGCAGTGGTGAAAGTTCTCGCCTCCCCCAAAGTAGTGCATGGAAAATCTTTGATATTATATCCATCAGATTTTTTTTTTCAGAATACCACATTTCTCAGCTAAAATGAAAGGGGAAATTGTGGAGATTAATGTAGATAATAATTTTTTTAGAAAACCATCTTGAAAAATATAGGCATCTTAAGTATGTAGGATAGCTAATTGAGTTAATCAGATAATTATTTCATTTGTCTTCAAGTACCCAACTTGCATTTGACCTTTTAAGACTTTACCTTAAACGACAACACTTCAATTTGGAGCAACATCATAAAAATCTGAGCAGGGAAAATAATCCTGTAGGACAAACTACTCTATTTTTCTTGGGGTATGAATTTACTTCTTATGTTTGAGATTATTTTACCATATTCACTTTCTTGTTACCACTTAAGAGAAAGTTTGACTTTAGGGTTTTGTGGAAGGGAAGGGACAATTGTTTTTATCGTTGTAAATTTATGCTGGTTTTGTGAGTTTCAGGGTCAAAGATGGAAAATTTTCTAATTAGTATTCTTGCTACCTGACCTGGCTGTTCCTTTCACTGCTTTCAGCTGGAGTTGTGAGTGGGATGAAGAAACTGACATATGGAAACCCACAAAACCTACACAATCTCTTAGGTGTGCGTGTGTGTGTGTGTGTGTGTGTGTGTGTATTTAAACTGTAACACAGTATAGGCTTTAAAGGGATACCTTTTTCTAATGAAGAACCCTGATTATATTTTCTGAAACATAATTGAATTTGTGCTAGAAGTTGAATATAGGTATTGACTTCTTGAAAGTGAAGGGCGAGTGTTGCACAGATAAATGGCAGTCAGTCAACCAAGAGGAATGTTTAAAGGAGTCAGAGACTCAAAGACAATAGATTTTCCAAGTTGATGGCTCTATTCAGCAGTTCTAGAGAGAGTGAAAGTATTGGAGTAACTTTCCTAGATTAGATGCTCCCCCCCCCCGATATTCAGTCCAGAGGGTGATGGGCTGCTTAGCAATATAAAATGCTTGTCCCTGACAGTGAAAGTATTGGAGTAACTTTCCTAGAATAGATGCTCCCCCCCCCGATATTCAGTCCAGAGGGTGATGGGCTGCTTAGCAATATAAAATGCTTGTCCCTGATTTTGTCTTAATTCATTTGCCTGAGCATAACCTGAAATGTAATAGACTGGCTTGCAAAGTGCTGATTTTAGCTTCTCATTAAAGAAATGCACGTACAAAATAAGGGAATGAGAGAATAGGTTGGGTAGAGCAGAGCAGGAAAGGGAATGTCCTGACACACTCTGAGGATGTTGGATTGTGCTTTTAACAGTAGTCTATCCGGATGAGGGAGATACCAGTCCTGCAGTCTGAAATGGTCAGATTGCCTATACCTGTTCAGTTCTGAAGACTTTAAAAAGTGTATTCAACAAACTCATGGAGAAAGACTCATGGGGAGCACACCGGAGGAATACTGATGGTAATAATGGCAGCATTTTAGTGTACTTGTAGGAGCTCAGGGCATATCACTTCAGGTAAACAAGCACAATTTATATACAAAAGCAGAGAAATAGAAACTAGACAGTTAGCAAAGAAAGAGAGAAAGCAATCTTCCTTACCTTTGTCATATTTCTTGCTTACTTATTCCTGTGTTCTTGTTCCTCTTAGCATACTGAAATCTAAGGACTAGACCCATGAGTTAACATTTTAATCTTTACAGCTCTTCCAGGTCTCTTCATTAGAGATTGAGGTCTAGTTTTCATGTGTGCCCCCAAAATGTTAGTATTTCTGACATTGGTGAGAATAGTGTATTTGTAGATTTCCTTGATGAGAATCTGCTTTCTCTTCACTTAAAAATAACTGTTAGGAAAACCTATGGGTTTCTATGAGATGTTCCATGAGCATTTAAGTGAGTTTCACTTCTTTATTTTTTTACTTTAACTTAGATGTTGGTGAAGGTGGAGTTAGATTGAGTAAAGTCATGAACCTTACTAACAAACTACAAAATAATAAGTGTGGATATTTTTCTGCTACCATTTATAGGTCTGTGACTTGTTTTCAACTCAATATGTGAGTTCTAACAACTCAAAATATTTGCCTTTCTAAAATGTCAGCTTGATTTTCTGGAGAAATTTCCCTTGTCAAATTATAACCTAAATCTTTTTAGTCTCCTTTAGCTCTCATCTCTCTTCCCAGTTTAATCTCTTGTGTTCTTCCCAATCATATCTTGTAGCCTGGAGATAGCAGGCTGTGTGAGATTCCTAGACTCACCATGCTTCACACTTGCCTTTAAATGTTGTCACTCTTCTGCCTGTCTTTCCCAAGATTGTCAACTGAGGAACTGATCTTCTATGTCTGCTGTCTCTTAGAGCCTGCTTTATCTGCCTCCCAGACTCACCAGCTTCTTATCCAGTGCTCCATATGCCTTCTCTGCTGTGGCCCGTGGTACTCATCTCACTGTAGTTGGCTGTTGGTATCGTTTTTGGGCTTCTTTTTACCTTCAGGATGGACTGGATTCACCTTTGCTTTTCACTCAGCAGCAACTCAATATCTCTCCCACATTATTCCCAAAGGGCTTCTATAAATATTTGTTTCCATTATAAAATAGAACCAAACTTAAAATGAGATAGCGGACATGATTATTTGTTCATAATTCTATAGTAGCCTTATGTTTACTTTTTGCCTTTTCAGTCCTTTTGCTCTGCATTTTATTTAGTTGCATAGTGCATTATCCTATTTATCATGCTTTACAAACATAATGTAAATTTTTCATTTGTTCCTGCCTGATCTTTGTAGTTCTCATCTTGAATGATTCTTTTTAAAGTTTTACTAGTTGGATAGCTTACTTACATATTTGTTTACATTTAGATATTTAGTGGTTTTTTCCCTAACTTTTAATATTTATGGCTGTAAAATAGTAGATTGGATACATTTAGAAGTTAAGAATGCCAGAATGCAGGGAAAAAGAGCCAATAATTTAATTCAGAAGTTCTTGGTGCCAACTGAGCTCTGAGTCCTTTCTGCAGCTTTGGACTTTGAGCACTGTGGGCACCTTTTCATCTGTAGTGAGTGAGAGCTGTGGCAAGGATTCATGTAAGGACTAAATGAAATCCAACTAGGGGAAGTAGATTTGTGGGATCCTTAATGTGGGGGAGGCACTGAAATACTGTGTACAGTTTCATTGAATTCTTGGAGTAGCCGTATAAGACTGGTTGGAAGAGACTTTGGATTTTCTCTAAGTCGCACAGTAAGTGCTAAGATCCAAACTCAGTTATATTCTTACCAAGGATTTGTCTTTATTAATTTTTACAAACACAGATTTCTTCAGTTTATTTAGCAAAAATCAGTCATTTTAAATAACGCATGAGTGCTCTAACACTATGTATTTCTTTTTAGGAATGAACATGCTTTTCTGACAAGCTAACAAAATATATCAATGTTCCAAGATATTTCAGTTGTATGCCACCAATTTATGATGCATATAATAATAACCTATCAGCTTAATTATCATTTTCAATTGTCCTTATCTTCTTGATCCTAGTGAAGACTTAATCATAAGTCAGAGCCTAAAGTCCTAAGGTTAATACATGATTTAGATTGTAATGCACGACTCTTTAGCTGTACATGCAAAGCAGCCAACACATGCTAAGCTCCTGTGTGGTTTCAGATAGTTTTTTACTGGCCTAAGTCATGGACCTGACTCAATTTCTTTTTCTTGTAAAGTTACAAATCCAGTTCTTAAATACTCTATAGTCTTTTGTCCTGAAGATTCCTGGAGAGATGTCCCAGCCAGTGAATCATTTCTCTGAAATAGTACAGAAGGATAATTCTAAGATTTCCATATCAAGGAATATTCAAGGAAGAAAAACATTTAAAGAAAGATAAGCATATTGAAATATTCAGAATATTTTTATTATTGACCAGTATTTCACAAAACTTCTCAAATCTCTGATAAAGAATGGGGAATTCACTTGTTAAAACCTGACTTTAAGTTAGTGATATTGGCACAAGACAAGCAAAAGAATTAATACCACAGGATTGGAAATAGCCACCATCCCATATGAGGTTGAATAGAAAGGGGATATCCTTGAGAGCCAACCTATGTAAAGAACTGGGCATGATTGCCTCCTGGGGCTATGGTGTTTCTGAGGAATGGAGAGTTACAGAGCTAAAAAGAAAGGCCATATGGTCCTTCCTCCAGGCTACCTGCCTTCCTTGGCTCACAGTCCTTTGCTCCAGTTTTCAAGCCAGAAGTGTAGCATCTTCAAATGTCCGTGATCTCCTTGTTGGTGTCTCTCTTTCCCTTATATAGACACTTGTCATTACATTGGGCCCACCTGGATGATGCAGGATATACTCTTCATGTCAAAGTTGGTTGATTAGCAACTCTAATTCCATTTGTAGTCTTAGTTCCCCCTTGCCAGACAGGCAGGTTCTGGGGATTAGAACATGAACATTTTAGGGAGATAGTGCATTATTTTGCCTGCAGTACTTGGCAAGCAAGATGAGTGAATGGATGATGAATTCACATAAGGTGTCAGAAAATGGAAACCAGTATTGTGCCAGCCATTATAGGCAGAAAAAAATAGCTCATGTTTCTGACCTCAAGGATTTGAGGATCAGTGGGATCAAGGGTAGTGGAAGATTTTTGGGAGTCTTCCATCTCTCCATTTGATTTTTAAATTTTTCTGCTGTGCACATGAATTCTGCTTTCTTTGTTCGAGTAATATTCTGCTTCCAGTTTTGAAGTTAAAAAGGATGAATTCCACCTTAAGTATTAAAACAGCCATCATTCAAGTCATTCCTGACTCAGAGACCAGGGATCTGGGGGTTCGTGTTGGAGGAACTCCTTTGGGTTTCTGCAAGCCGGTCTATGAGGTGCTGCTAGCATGGGTGCGGGACAGGGCCTATCTTTCCCTTTGACTCTTAGGTAAACTTTTCTCTGACATCTCAGGTTTAGATCAGATTCCTTATTCTATGCTCTTAATGTACCTCCCCAACACATAAAGTTTAGTGAATGTTTAAATAAAACTTATTACAGTAAAAGACACATTGCCAAGAGTGAGGGATAAATGTGTTTAAAGCAAGGGGGAGTATTTTGAGTATATGAAGAGGGATTAATGGCAATGTATCTTTTACTATAATAATTTTTTAACTTTTAAGTTTGATCATATCACATTGAATAAATGTTTATGACAATTTCTGTCAAAGAAGAACATTATAGTGTGTCCTCATCTTATTCTGTGCATTTGGCACTGTGACTTCTGGTTCTTTCCTCAAGTTGAAATGACCAAGAATGGTAAATTTTTTTGGTAATGGAGATCAAACTGAGGTCCTTGTGCTTGTAAGGCAGGTGGCGGAACCACTGAGCTAAATCCCTGGCAAGAAAGGTAAATGTTTTGAATAGATTCAGGTCATCAAGGCAGCCATAACAGTACAACTAGACATGACCTAAAAAATTACTTTGGAAAGTAGCATGAACTATGGAATCAGTATGCTTGAAGCAAGAGGGGTGTATCTTAAGGGGATTAATGGTAATGTGGTCTTTTAGTATAATAATTTTTTGTCTTTTGAGACAAGGTCTTGCTATGCAGTTCAGGCTGGCCTTGAACTCACTGTGTAGCCCAGGCTGGCCTCAAACTTGTGGCAATTCTCTTGCCTCAGCCCCCGAGTGCTGGGATTACAGGTGTATGCCACCATGCCAGGCTTATAATAAATTTAAAAAAATTTCAATATTAACCATATTTTCTGATCACAGCTTGTACTTCATTGCATTTATAATGCTGTTTCAATAAGTGCTAGATTTTATGAGTAACAAAGGCAATAAAATATATCTTTTATTTCTCAATGTGCAGTGTCAGACAGAGGGCCTGGTGTATGTTACATATTCAAAAACTTGTTGAAAAAAATTAAGGAATAAGTGAAGACCAAAATTGAAGTGTTGAAACTATTTTTCTGCCCTGTCTCTTTGTAACCTGGGACTGTGGGTTTTGTGACATGGCACATGAAGTGGGGACAGCAGGTGTATATACACCCCTCCTCCCACTTGGGAGCAAGGAGCATTTATCAGATCCTCAAGCAGATCATTATCAAGAAGAGATTAAGAAGTACTATTCTAAGTGCATAGACTTCCGAGACAAGATAGTTTGATCATGGTCCAGAGGAGGAGGATACTGTACTGTCCCAGGAAAGACAGATTTCTCTCTAGCACTGACTGAGCTTTCATATCCTCCACCTCTCCAGGAGAAGAGAACGTGCTGCCTCTGCTGACACAGGACTCTAATTCCAAAGCTCGGAGGGGCATTTTAAGGAGAGCTGTGTTTTCGGAGGACCAGAGAAAGGCTCTGGAAAAGATGTTTCAGAAGCAAAAATACATCAGCAAAACAGACCGGAAGAAACTTGCCATCAACTTGGGACTGAAGGAATCACAGGTACTAATGACTAGGAAGATGTCACCTGCTCCTGAATATGAAGTAATATAATGAAATCCATTAATTTTGCAAATATTTCTTGTGCTGGGCCTGTTGCTGGACTGTGTGGTGTTCTTGAAATGTTTTCCATAATTTTTAGTGGATAGACATATATCTGATAATTCCTATTTGGAAGTAGATGCATTTACTAAGAAGTCTAGATTTTTGCCTTTGGGCCATGAAAAATGATAAAGATTAAATCATAGTATGTTTATTATTTTTTGTTCCATATTCAGAGAAGCGGGCCAAATGAATTTCCTTCAAATGCAGGAATTAATTTTCCTGTCTTTTCTTCATTTTTAATGCAGAATCAAAGCATGAATAAATGATACCTTTTAGTGGGTTTCACTATTTTGCACTGTGGGTTTATGCCATGTAGAGTTAAGTCATTTCATGTTTGCAACACTTAACCTTTCTTGTTGCTGAATATTATATGTAATCAAGAATGAGACTTTCTGCCTTGTTTTCTGGCTTTTCTGTCTATATATTTTTAGCACTATATATATATATATATTTATTTATTTATTTACTTATACATATATATATATATATATACACACACACACACACATATACACACACACATATATGTTGTGCTAACATTTTCCTATTTAATCCTCCTTGTGATCACCATGCACTATAATTATGCCCATTTTCTAGATGAAGACATGTAGAGAAGAGAACATAAGTCTAATACCATATATAGCAAAGTCATTTGAGAGCTGGATTCCCATCCCAGGAGTTTTCCTTTACCTAGAGCTACCATATACAGTAGTGCAGGATGCCCACGGCACAAAGAAGGGCATCTGGTCAAAGGTGATGATAGTTGTCAAAGGGGAGCTGGTACTCTGCTTGTCAAGCTAGGTGTCTTGGTGTAGCTTACATTCACCTGCATTTTAGCATAGAAGAACAGAAGGGCTAGTAGAAGCTCTGTCCTAACCATGTCCTTGCTTTTAACTTTGGACCCAATTAAAACCAACTGTTATCGTGAGAATCTCTTCTCAACCTTTCTTCCTTCCCTAGGGAAATGATCTGTCTACATCACCCACCTCCCCACCCTCAGCTCTTTGGAGTAGTAGGATGCAGTGTGTGGTATAGTAGAGGGTAATTGCTCTTCTGCTCTCATTGCTTTCTGGTACTAATGAGTCCATGGGCTTAACTGGTTGGTTGCACTGTGTCTCAATTCTCACTTAAAAGAAGAAGAACAATATTGGAATTGTGTCCCTGTTATATGCGCAGTTTTGAGTATATAACAGATAGATTAGTAGTTATTCTCTAATGATCTGTTGTGTGCAAAACACTATACTAGGTGGGCAGTGAGAGGAAATATTGATTAATATTGAGGAATTCATACTCTTTGCACTCCAGTAACTTACACACCCAGTGGAAACTCATGAAAAGTTAGATAACAGCACATCATATACTTTTATAAGGGGTATTGCCTGGTGGGTTCGATACTCTGTCCAGTAAGGGTGATGTATCAGTGGTTCCTAAAGCTGTCTTATCACTCTGGAGCCGTATGTTAGTCCATCTCTGGGGAGTACAATGTTATGAATGGTCCACACTCCACTAGGAAGCCTGGTGACAGACCTTCCTGATCCTTAGGAGAGCTGCTGAGGCACAGTGAGGATGAGGGATCTCACAGGTATGGATAAGAAGCCACATAGTTGGGAAAAAATAGGCAGGTTTCAAAGGTTGGGGAGCCTCATAACTTGATGTAAGTGTTGAAAAATAGAAAGTAGCTAGGTTACATCTGACGGCGCTCTAAGAAGGTATGAAAAACTCATATATA